GGCACCGTCAGTCCCAGAAGCTCCCTCCAGTGGCCTCTTCTGTTCCCAGTGCCTGACACTGGCTGAATTAATTGTCCTCCTCTCCGCCTCTCTGTCTCCAGAACGGCCTGGAATCACTCTATCATTGGGCTTCCACAACTTGTCAGTGACCGTGTTTATGAGCTTGTTTGCCCTACTACACTGTGAGTTCCTCAGTAGGTGGGGTCAGGCCTTACTCATCGGGGTATCCCACATCTAATAAACGTTGAATAAACAGATGAGTGCTTTTCCTGTGCCTTGTGGCAGACACACCACGGTCCGTCAGTGTGGCAGTGAAATCACCGAGCTTTGATGGCTAGGAGATCTGTGACTAGAGAGAGAGACCACACGGGCCTTGAAGAATCGGGGGTGGACTGCAGTGAGGAAGGAGATCTGTGACTAGAGAGAGAGACCACACGGGCCTTGAAGAATCGGGGGTGGACTGCAGTGAGGAAGGCACAGATCCCCGTCTCCAGGGGCTCCACTGAGTAGGTCCGTGATAGCTGGGGAGTAAGAAGCCAGTCAACAATGCAGTGTGGTGAGCGTTGGCACAGAGGCCTCTTGTACAAGCACCGGGAAGTATGGGATGCATTTGACCTGGGAAGACTGGCCTTTGAGTTGAGCCTTCAACTACTTATGTAGTTGCTCACCATTTGGAGAAGAAGGAGGAGCATCTGGCAAGCTTTAGAGGTATGAGGACCCTTTTTTGAAAAGCTGAGAAGGAACATTTGAAGTTCATGAGTGTTGAGGAGTGGGGAAATGAGATGGGAAGGAGCCGTGTGTGTGTGTGTGTGTGTGTGTGTGTGTGCGCGCGCGCGGGGGAAGACAAAGCTGGCAGCTAGTCTTTGCCCCGGTGGCCGTGAGGAACCATTGGCGGTTTTAAAATCAGAGGAATGGCACAGATTTGCATTTTAGTAAAATGTCTCGGAACAGTGTAAAAATTGGACTGGAAGGGGATAAACTAAAGAGAATAGACTGGTTCGGAGACCAGTGCAACAACAGTCCAGGTGAGCGAGGTGAAGGGCCTGGATTGAGGGAATGGAGATGTGGAAGAGAAGAGAAAGTGTAGAGTATGATTTTTGTGGGTAGAATTTGTGAGACTCAGTGACTGGAGCTACGTAGAGCAGTTGTGAGAGAAACAGGAGGACAGAAAATGTTTGTAGATTCTTCAATCCTCTAACCACTGGATGGGAGAGTAGAAAGGAAGCCTTGGGTTTGGTTTGGACATTTGAAAATGGAGCCTCCCTCTGCAGGAGGCGACCAGGCAGATCAGGGGAAGACACCACTCCCATCACCCTGCTGCTGCTGCCACTGCTGGTCGCCGTGGCTGCCCGCCCTCAGCCCTCGCAGCCTCTGCAGCTTTGTCTGGAAGGACATCAGAAGATGTCCGGTCTATCTGGTCTAATTAGCATATTACCCTTTTATTAGTATAGATGTGTCTGGGAATTTGACTATTCTGGGAACCTGATATAAGAGGAATCATACAGTATTTATTTGCCCTTTTGTGACTGGCTTATTTCACTTAGCATAGTGTCTTTGAGCTTCATCCATGTTGTAGGATATGTCACAATTTCCTTCAGTGTTCTTAAGAGTGTGATTTAAACACACTTCTTTTTGTCAAGAATACAGCTATTCCACAAACATTGTTAAGTTCTCAAGTTCTGCCACATTAGTTGTACACAGGGAAAGGGGAGATAGAAGACAGGAATTCACTTTTAGTACCTATATCCCATTTACCACAGGTCAGGTGCTGAGTTAGTTGCAAATGCTGCATTTGACTCAGTCTTCACAACAGCTCTGTGAGGTGGAGATTATAGCTTTCCTCATTCTAGAACTGAAGAAACTGAATTTCAGAGAGTTCGGTAGCTTGTACAAGGTCACACCACTTGCAAGTTAACTGAGCCAGGATTCCAGTCTGATCATCCCGATACCAAGGCTCCGTGTGCTTTTCATGACCCTTCGGTTCTCTAATTCTGTTACTCTGAAGGAGTCAAATCTCTTTTCTAGTCATTTATAGAGCGGTTATTTCTAGAACTCAGGACCTGCATGGAAGTCAGCCAGTGGGCTTTGGAGGCGTTAGAAGGCTGTGCTTATCTCTGCATCTTTGTTCTGTGTTGTGCTTTGAAAGCTTTGAGAGCACTACTGAGTTTTTTAGTTTCATCTCCATTCTGTGACCAATTGCCGGAGAGACCCAGAGTCTGAAGTTTGTGTTGACTTTAGAAAATCATCCTCCGAGGCTCATTTCTGGAATGAGTTTAAAGAAGAAGAGTACCGGAAGCCAGGTTCAGTCTGAGAGTGGGAGCTTGGAAAAGGATAAGTGGTTTTCTGGGGTCATTAGAGTGGATCAGATTACCTTCTAAAGTAATGATGAAAACAAAGAATAAATCAGAGAAACTGTAAAACACCCTGCATTCTTCCTTCAGGCAAGTAATACCATATCTTCGATGACAGATAATTATTTTCTCTTGAATACTGACAGAATTAGAAAATTTCCAGTGGTACATTTAAGTCAGTGGTTCTCAACCTTCCTAATGCTGCGACCCTTTAATACAGTTCCTCATGTTGTGGTGACCCCCAACCATAAAATTATTTTCGTTGCTACTTTATAACTGTAATTTTGCTACTGTTATGAATTGTATATCTGATATGCAGGATGTATTTTCATTGTTACAAATTGAACATAATTAAAGCATAGTGATTAATCACAAAAACAATATGTAATTATATATGTGTTTTCCGATGGTCTTAGGCGACCCCTGTGAAAGGGTCGTTCAACCCCCAGATTGAGAACCGCTGATTTAAGTGGTTTAGTGTCCGAGTGATTAGGAAGTGTAGAATCTCTTCTGCTTTATTTCAGGGCTCTTCTCTTGTTCTCACTGCATCCATTTAAGAGCAACTAATTAATGGCCAGTGGAAAATTCCTCATTGTAAAGGTCATGGACAAAGCACATGCCCGGTTGCATTTGCCTACTTAGAGTCAGGGACTTAAACTGTAATCAGATGTTCAGCTTTATTGTTTTCTCCAAGTGTAAAGGAAAGAACAATGCTCAAGACACAGCTAAGGTATTTTTAAAGCATGCAATTTGTGTGACTCTTGCTGAGTCAGGTGAGTGGGTGATGCTGGCAGAGTTGTAGAAAAAGAACTGACTTCTAGCAAGGAATGAGAACCCACGCTCAGCAGAACAGGAGTAGGGCTGAGAATATGCTGAAGGAGAAGGAAGACTGAGTGGTTCGATGTGAGTCAGGTGCCTGAAGAGTGACTCAAAGTGACTAGCTCTGGGGCTCAAAGGGAAATGGACTTGCTCTCTTTACCCGTGGCCTTGAGAGAAGAGCCCAGCCGTGTCTGGGAGTGGAGGTGTGGGGTGGCCTGACAGAACGGACTGACTCCAAAGAATTGCCAGTCAGGGGGAAAATAATATTGTGGATGACCTAGGAGAGTCCTCTTAATGTTCTAGACCTACCACGAAATTGCGTACGGTGAGATTATTGTGCTTAAAAACATAGTCTAAATGGATAGCATTTCTATTCCCAAGGTGCACAGTGGTAAAGTCTCGGTGTATTTGAACAAACTCTGTCTGTTATTCGTTAGAAGTGCCCAGTAGGAGGTTCTTGCTGGCAGACAAGAGAGTCAGGATATGATGTCTTCACAGGACAAAACTCTGATGGATTTAATTCAATGACAGAACTCAAGTGCCAAATCTCAGGGTGGCTCAGGGAGCATTGGCAGAAAAGTACCCTTTTTTTTTTTTTTAC